TTTCATAACACATAACTCCTCTGGCAAAAAGACGGGAAAAAGACTAAAACGATAGAAACTACTAAGTCACATATAAACCTGTCAATCATGAAAAAAAACTTGCGTTATCAAACAATACGCATATATGCGCACCATACTCCCATCTCAAAAAGACATTAAAAAACGTTACAAAGGTGCTCTTAACTCAAAAAGCGTCAGAAGTATTCCGGAAACAACACATAAACAAAAACAACTCTTAAAACATCGGTATCTCTGTACATGACAAATCTCAAAACTCTTAAAAAAAACTCATTGGGGCATTACTTTCCCCATCATAATCCGTACCCATAAACTCATTAAAACACCATAAAAACTTCACAAAACTCAAAACACTGTGTTGCAAATACTTGTCCACTGAAACGCGCTTAAATCGTTATAAAGGACCTCGCACGTCACCAAATATCAGTTCAAAACAAAGATCTGGGCGCTTACACACATACAATTCAACATCACAAAAAAAAGGTAAGAACAAAGATAGAAAAAGCAAACAATACATTACATTACTGAGCAATAGGGTTAGGGTTGTGGAAAAGAGTTCAACGTCCTTGAGTTACACAGTGTCAGTTACAGTGTCCAACCAGCGGTTCTCTAAGCAATACACAGATAACTAAAGTTCTAATCAAAGTCTATAAGCGTCTCTTCTCTTGTCGCGTTATTCCGGGTCGTTCTTTGTCAACTTCTTGTCTTTAATGTCGCTCAATTCTTAATTATACAGTCCTATCCGGTACTCATCCTTCATAAGGGGTTCAGAGGTCTTCATCTCTTCAGCGTCGTTCATCGGTGCCATACTGTTAACGGTGTTAGTCGTCAAGCGCGGTTTCGTCTCTGCCATCGAGCCAGTTAGTTCGGTTCACGAGAAATACACATCTTCGCCATTTCACTTTTCTTCACAGGATGTCAATGTGTGTTAAACACCTGCCCGGGATCTCCACTCACGTATCAGGGGTAAATTCTCTTTCTCTTCGGGGGTCTCCACACTTGCCAGGGGGAATCTCGTCTCGTCTCTCTATCTCGTCCCCTTGAGGTACGGGATCGGGAAAGTCACTTTAACCTTACAGTCAAATAAGGCACACACAACGAAATACGTTTCAGCTCTCGTCTTAGTCGGTCAATCGAACACTCTATCAGACACAGCGCCTTGGGGAAAAGATCCCCAAGACTCTCGCAAGGCTGAACCAAGACTCGCCCAAGACTGGACTGCCTCAAGGCTCCGTCGCCCCTGGACTCTCTCGGACTGGACTCGACTCTCCAGGACTGCCTCGACTGCGTCTATCGTGGAGTATTCGCCAAGACCAACTCAAACTCTCTGTATTCATTTTCAAAACTCTAACCAATTACAAAACAGTAAAAAGACTCTAAGGCGTAAACTTCAATCATAAAGCCAATCAAACTAAGTACTGAATACGTCATATCTTTTGATTAATCGTTCACTACATTAATAACTATGGAATACCAACTGTCAGAATCGCGACGGATATCTCGTAATTAGTTCCAAATCACTGAGCCAAGTTCCGTCCAAAACTTCAAATAGGCCTACACGATGACAGACATAACACAGCAATTCGCTAATAATCAGTTAATTAAGTCGGTTAACAGATACGCAAAAACAAATTCATGACATAAAGTTGAACGGATAGTGAACATCCTTGGCGTATGTCACGTGAAAACGGTATAGGGTATTATTATGCGTACATGACTATGTGTACCAGTATATAACAGTTCCATGTATTTTAAAAACGTGATTGCTAAAACCAAAGGCTTCGAGTCTTTTAAAGATATAGCAATGATTCACTCGGTCAAACACTTTATCGTGATCCAGCGTAACAATGCCGAGCTAAATACTATCGTGCCGGAGTACGTAATTACGTCGCACTAGATTTATGTTGTCAAAAATACCAAAAAACAAATATTTACGTCACAGTGTAATTAAAAAAATTAAACACTGAAATTACTCAAAGTTTAAACAAATATTGGGATTATTTTTAAATTATGGATTTATTAATACAGTGCCAAATCACATATGGAAAGGCTCTACAATATCGATGTTTGTTCACACAAGGAGACCTATATAAACCCTGGACCAGTATATTCGCTTAACAGACGATTGTATTTCTCAATGTCATAGTCACCGTGACGGTGCGGTCACACACAACAATCCATAACAGAAACGCCCAGAGCTATGTTGTAAAGTGCCGGACATTATCTTCTGGGAACCATTACCAATAACACGGCCATACATTACAAACTATATTTGTCAATTCACTATTTTAGTTCTACATATTTTATTTGGCGTGGCTACGGGAATGTCGAAATAACATCCAATCAGCTCCTTCAATTTTAGTCATGTGTTACTCCGCACCATGGTCACATGATTCATTCTACGAATATCGTCAGTTTGTCCATGGAAGGTACTAACGGAAGGAGCTACGACGCCTCTCAAGTGGCCACTTAAGCTTCTTAACATGCTAGTTAATCCTGATTATGACATTGTCTTGCTCATCTTTGATGTCGATGATAGTTTGCGATTGTTTACACAAGTAACGAGTTAGCGGAATATGATACAACCCCGCCGATTTTTAAATGTGACCAAAAAATATATGCGCATTATGAAACTACGGTCATCATACATGCGCACTCGGTTGGTTTAGGTGTGAAAGGTCAAAATACGTATGTCACAACCGGAAATTCAACATGA